AGGGAGCCCGATGCAGGACTCGATCCCGGGACTCCAGGATCATGACCTGAGCCGAAGGCAGTTGCTTAACCAACTGAGCCACCCAGGCGCCCCGAGAATTCAGTTTTTAAACTCCTCACCTTCACTATGTTTATTTCCTTCAACTTTTCTATGTAAATATTACATTTTTAGTTGTCATTTGGGGTTCAGACCACTGTGGTTAATATTTCACGAGCCGAAGAGGGTTGGGTGGCCATATTTTCTTCATACGCAGCCTTTTCCTGTGACGGTTATGCTTCCACTGGCGGAATGTTCTGGTCTTGGTGTTTGGCGAGGCGCCCGTCAGCGGGTGGCAGGTGCTGGGCATCAGGGGACTAGCTGCTGCTCTGTGGTCTCCTGTGGTCTTTGTGGCCTCTCTCCTGGGCAGGTCTTGAAGCGTGTGCTCTTCTGCTTTGTTTCCAAGTGTTTCTGCTGTCTGGTCCTTTGTTCCGTTGCTCTTGTTCAGGTGTAGTATGTTCTCTCGTCTTAAAGAACGTGGCGTGTGGGTGTGATTTTGTGTTCACGTGTTCCTTGTGCCTTGAGTCGTGTCTCTGCGCTGCCCACGCTCTATAGATGTGGTGCCCTCGCCTGTCCGTGTGCATGTAGGAGGGAGGCCCTGGGCTGGGGCGCACTGTGGCTGTGGAGTGCTGGCCATGGTGTCTGGAACCTTCTCTCCAGGTCGGTCTGTCTCCAGCAAGACACCTCCAGATGCAGGGCCCGGGGTCACCAACACTGTGCCCCCTCCTGCAGCTGTCTTTGTGTGCAGGTGCCCTTTCTTTTCCCATACGTGTCTTTGTGGTGGGGGTGGGGGTGGGAGGGGAGTGGGCAGGAGCTAGTAGGCGTTGTTGACCTGTGTTAAATCAGCACCTGATGTTCTTTTCTAGTTTTTTTTGGTTTTGAGCGGGTCAGTGTCGACCCTCAAGGTGAGGCCTACCTCACTCAGCCCGTGCTGCCTCTTGTCGTCTCACAGATCTTGTCTGCTGGGTTGGGGCTCCCAGCCTGGAATTTCTAGGGGCGTCCCCTCTTCTGACCAGTTTTTCCTTTCTCAGCCCCAGGACCAAATTACCATCACAGGGTATGAAAAGAATACAGAAGCTGCCCGGGACGCCATATTGAAAATTGTGGGTGAACTTGAACAGATGGTTTCTGAGGATGTCCCCTTGGACCACCGTGTTCACGCCCGCATCATTGGCGCCCGTGGCAAAGCCATCCGCAAAATAATGGATGAATTCAAGGTGGGTCCCCAGCCAAGCCGTGGAGGGGTGCCATTAAGTTCTGGGGGCACGGTGGGTGCAATGGGGCACGTGCTTCCTGCTCTGGCGGGGGCACTTCCTCCCACACGGGCTAGTGGAGGGCCTCAGGTCTTCCTGCCTCAGCTGCCGACCTCACTTAGGGTTTGGAAGGGAGACCTCTGACGCTCGGGTGCCTGTCCCTGAGTTGGTGAGGCAGTGCAGAGGGCACAGCCATGTGCCGTTGATAGCGTTGGACGGTGTCCTGCACTGGCCGCGGGAGGGGCTCCCCCACAGTGCACCAGCGGCTTCTGTATGTGTCACGTTATGCTTAGCTCTGACGTATAGGACCTTTGCCTCCTGAGAACAAGGTTAACTTGGGAAAACTTCACTAGAAACCCACCATTCCCAGCCGTGCCTAACCATGAGCCTCTGGTTCAGAGACCCCAGGTGGAGGGCTTCCAGCCACCTCCAGCTGCTGTGCGTGCTCCTTCCAGGTGGACATTCGCTTCCCGCAGAGTGGAGCCCCAGACCCCAACTGCGTCACCGTGACAGGGCTCCCAGAGAATGTGGAAGAAGCTATCGACCACATCCTCAACCTAGAGGAGGAATACGTGAGTTGTGGTTGGGCAGCAGGTTTATACCCGGGACACCCGCCTCTGACTGGCCGGGGCTGACAGCAAGGCCATGTGCATTTGCTCCCAGGGGCATGCCGGGTGCAGGGTCTCCCCTGAGCGAGCCTGGTCGTCGTGCATGCCTGCTGCAGACCGACACCCCCCCTCACCCCCCCGCCTGTGCCCACAGCTGGCTGACGTGGTCGACAGTGAGGCCCTGCAGCTGTACATGAAGCCGCCAGCCCACGAGGAGTCCAAAGCGCCATCCAAGGGCTTTGTGGTCCGGGACGCTCCCTGGACCGCGAACAGCAGCGAGAAGGTCAGATGCTGTTCTGGCCCTCCGTGTGCCCTGGGAGGGGGGAGCACCTGCGAGCGGCACTTACCTCTCCATTTGGGAAGCTGCTCAGGTGGGAGCTCCTTACTAAAGCTGTGCGCTCTTTCCCCCTACAGGCCCCTGATATGAGCAGCTCTGAAGAATTTCCCAGCTTTGGGGCTCAGGTGGCCCCCAAGACCCTCCCATGGGGCCCCAAACGATAATGATCAAAAAGCAGAAACCTCTCCAGCCTGCTGCCCCAAACCCCACCACACATGGTTTGTTTCAATCTGACCCAGCAGCTGGACCCTCCATAAATTGTTGACGCCTCCCCCTCCCCGAGGTCTCGCAGTGAAGCTGGGCGTGCCAGCACCCCGCGTGCGCTCAGGATCTGCTCCCTGACACCTTTGCTCTGGGACGGCTCTCCACTGTTGCGAACACTAACAGAGGTAATTGGACATTTCCCTATAAGCGTCCCGGCTCATCCAGCATGTCAGTAAGGCTCTGGCCTCCACTGTGAGAGCTGCACAGCTGTGGCTGGGTCTACTTCCTGTGTCGTGACCTCAGGAAATAAATTTCCTTGACTTTATAAAAGCCAAAACGTTTGCCCTCTTCCTTTCCCACCTCCTTTCCTCCCTCTGCCTGCCGTCCAGACCCTCCTTGTCAAATGCAATCCACCTTCTTCCAGCTGCCAAAAAGCCCACTTAGCCCAGACCACAGGGTGGGGAGGAAGACCCAGTGTGCACACTGGGAGCGCCCGGACCCAAAGGAGAGCCGCGGTGGACCCAGAGGGGACCAGAAAGGCAGAAGGGTGACCCAGGTTCTCAGGCGGTCTTGGCTTTACACACGTTGGGTCTGAAAGCACCAAGTGTCTCCACCCCCGCACCACACAGCGCTGGAGACCCCAAGTCTGGTGAGCGAAGCCTGAGGACAAGGCTGCAAGTCTCCGTCTGGGTCCACTGTGGCTGGCGTGGTGGCCTGGTGTGGCCTGAGGAATGCGGGGACGGAGAGGGGAGGCCCGCAGAGCCGCGGGGTAGACCATCCACTCCTCCCTCGTGCCCACGCCCACGTGTGGCCAGGTGTTGAGTCGCCTCCTTTCTACCTCAGAGCCAGCGTGGCGTGGTCCCGTGCTTAGGGGAGTGCCACCCCCAGCGCTCTTCAGAGGTTTCTGGTGGTGGCATGTTTGCTGCAGCGCTGGGGCTCACCCAGGCTGTCCTCTCACACATGCCCAGCTGTTCTGTGTGCAGGCTCCGGGAGTTGGCTTGGAGAGGCAGGCTTCGTAGTCCTGGGGTGGAGAGAGGTGGTCGGTTGGCCTGGACCAGAGGACCAGCTGCCAGTAAGGGAGGGTCTGCTCTGTCTCAGGTGCGTGGTGGGGAACTGGGTGTTGGACCCCAGGCCTTGGCGAGACAAAGTGCCGCACCCCGCCCCCCCCCGATTGTTGAAGGTCTGCTCTAGAGAGGAAAGGGGGCCCCGGGCAGTGCGGAGGTGCCCGTGTGCTGTGTCGTGTGGGAACAAGGACGGGCCCTTTGTCTTGCTGTCTAGCCTCCCCCTCCCTGCCTCTGCCCCCACAGAGGCGACTGGGCCTTGTCATGTTGTTCCACCCCGAGGTACTGGAGTTCCTAGGGGCCAGACGCGTGTCCGACATGTGTCCCACACACAGCCTGTGCCACCCCTGCGCCCCCATCCTTCACCCTCGAGCTCCATTAACTGAAGCTTGGTGACCTTCTGACTCTGAGATTCTGAGTAGACTGAGAATCACTTGACAAGTGAACCTTGAGCTGTCTTCGCAAGCTCCCGTCCACTGCGGCAGCCTGCAGTGTGCCCGTCTCTAGGAGCGATAGACCGGGGTAGGGGAGAACGCGCACTTCAGCAGACAGGCTGGGTGACCCCAGAGCAGGCCCGGTGAGGAGACGGAGGGAGGAGGGGCGGCGCTGCCCGGCCTTTCTCCAGGAGCACCCCCTCCATCTCTTGGGGAGCCTGATTGGGAAAGGGCACCTCCTCTCCACCTGCATGAGGCTTGGAGCCTTTCCTGTTGGCCATCTTGTTCCCTCTGCCTGCCCTTCCGACTGACTCCCACGGCGTCTACCCCAACCCCTCTTCCCTTCGTCTTTTCTACAGCTTCCTTCCGCCACCCCCACCCCTGCCCTTCCCTAGAGGTAAATTTTAAATTTTCACAACAGGTTTTTTGCACATTTGCATTTATTGCTAAATGTTGTAGATGCAAACCTCCCCTCCCTTCCCTAAACTGTACTTGGGATCTTGTGTGCTCTGTTTTTGGTGGTTGTTACTAAAGATTGCTTGGTGACCCTGCCCAGGCCTGGTCTCCTGCAGCCACCCTGCTGCTGGGACAGCCCTGGGCAGGGTGGGGTGTGCGTGTCCATTTCCTTTGTTGAATGTCTTCCATATCATGTGTTTCCATAGCTATGATCCGTCCCTTGGCCTTAATTTTGGAATCTGGAGATTATATGCAAACATGTGTAAAGGCTTATGAATATGGATGACACTGGAATTTTATAAATTCTAAAATAAAACCCAAAACCGGATACAGTGTGCTAGAACTCATTTTGTCATGCGGCATGTCTTTTTTTGGTCCCGTGGAACCAGGGGTGTCTTTAGCATGCTCTTGAGTGGTAACTGGATATCCATGGATAGTTCTAGTCTCTGGTGTGATTCTCCCAGCTGGCGTATGTGGGAGGTGGATCGGTGCCCTGAGAGCAGACAGGCGAGGGGCTGGGAGGGAAGCAGGCAGTGGGCCCTGAGCAGGGGTGAGAGGAGCCACCTGGCCTGGGGGCTGGGAGAGACATGGCAGGGAGCAGCTCCAGCCGTTGCTGCTACAGTCAGCTGGGCTTGGGGGCCCCCAGCCAGCACCTGGGAGGTAAGGTGCATGAGCAGAGACCCAGGGTCACTGAGGGCACAGCGCTCTGGGCCAAGAAGGGGCAGGAGGTGAGCTGTGGTCTCTCGAGGGCGGTGAGCCTTTGATAGCTCTGGGGCCTCGGAGTCCTTGCCCTCCAGGTGTGACTGCCAACTTGAGGTGACCCCTGTGACTTCAGAGGGAGGGGACGGGTGAGGCATGGCCAACTCCTGGCGTTGTAGGCCGTGGGCCCAGACTCTTCTCCGAGCCCAGGGAGCTGTTGTCCTTTGCTCAGTTTGTTCCAGAGAAAGCCTGTCTTCAGGAAAGGGTGCAGGAGGGAGTGACTGGACCGACCGTGGACTGTCACGTGCCACGGCAGAGCACTGGGCCAGGCGCCATGCCACTGGTGGACAAGGGAAGGTGACACAGGAGGGGTGGGGGGGGCGGAGGGGCTCACCTCATTCTCAGTGCCTGCTTGGCCAGGTAGTACTCCCGCTTCACTTTGGCCTCCACAGACTCAGGAATGTCGGGCACCAGGAGGTCGAGGACCTGGCCAATGGAGAACACCACGTGCTGGGAGCAGGACACAGTATGAGCAGCAGCAGAAGGCACCCGCCCTTTGTAGAACAGATGCCTAGAGCGGCCTGAACAGGGCCAGGTGTGGGCACCTGCTCCCAGGTGTGGGCTGAGCTGGAGAACAGCGGTGTAGCCGAGGAAATCCCCAGAGCAGGCGGAAGCCACGGCTACAGAGACCTGTCCCAGGTTCTGGGGCCCTGGGGAGCCTCCTGGGACACTGCAGTGACCAGAGACAGAGGCCAGGCAGGGATCGACCGTCCCCAAGGTGGGGAGAAGACCGTGCGCAGGAGAGCTGTGATGCGACCAGGTGATGGTGTGTCTGCACCCCCATCCCCCCAACACCTGCACACCACGTGGTGGATGTGGCAAGGCATCCTGAGGGCGGGGCCAGTAGGAGAAGCCAGCTGGGGAACTGGGAACCTGGCTAACCTCAAACACAATATTGAAGGCCAGGCAGATGGCCAGAAGATTCCAGTAGGTCGGGGAATTGTGCTCATCATCTTCCCTGAAAGCCTGGTACCTGCAGGAGACCGGGAAGTCAGTGTGGGCAGCTGGGACTCCGCCTTTTCCTCCCATGATCCTATGACTCTGGGCCAGGCTTACCTGAGGGCGCGTGGAGGAGGAGTATTCCTACCCAGGGTACTCTGACAGGACCTTCAGCTTTCAGTGTTGGGGTTCCAAAGGGATGGATGGGCTGGATTGTCCCATTCCCCTGTAGCCTAAACTGGGCCCCGCAGTGGCAAATGTCCTATTGTCCAGCGGATGTGCTAATACAATAAATCTGTGGTTCTATGGGTGGTGTCACCCTAACCGTGAGAACGTGCCATTCCACGAGACCAGCAGCGAGCTCTACTCACACTTGCCTGCCCAGCACCGCTCTCCCTGACTGAATAAGCTCGGTATTTCTGGTTTGTCATCTTGCCATCCTTTGACAGCTTCTTGTACTTCTGATAAGGTGCGACATAAACTTACATGCTGCACTCCATGGAAAGCACTACCAGGGCCAACTCTGTAGAGGGGAAAAATCTCGAATATTAAACAGTAATTGAGGGAAAAACCATCCATGAATGTAATAAACTTTCAGTGGCTAAACTAGACACAACAGAAGAGAGACTGGGGACACGGAGACAATTCTTTGAAGTCACCCTGAATGCTCTACAGAGAGCCAGAAGATGTAACAAATACTCACCGTGCCCTCAGGAGACATGAAGGGAAATCAGAGGTACTCCAACGTGGCAGGAGTTCCAGAAGCTGAGAATGCAGACTATAGAAGCTCTGTTTGTTTTGGGGGGGCTTTTTTGTTTGTTTTTTAAAGATTTTATTTATTCATTTTATAGCACAAGCAGGGGGAGCTGCAGGGAGAGGGAGAGGGAGAAGCAGACTCCCCACTGAGCAGGGAGGCCAATGGGGGCTCAATCCCAGGACGCTGGGAACATGACTTGAGCTGAAGGCAGACACTTCACCGACTGAGCCACCCGGGAGCCCCGAGAAGCTCTTGGAAACAATGAAGTGGAGAGGTTTCCGAAACTAAGAAGACATCACCTTTTAGATCAAAAGCATACACTGAGTTTCAACTTTTAAGTAGACTCTACCATGACACAAGTCAAGGAAAATGAGGAAAAAACTTTCTAATGCTACCAATGCTTCCTACAAGAAAAGCCAGGTCACAAGAGAGTAATAGTGCCAAAGAGAGGAGGGAAAATAACCTAGAATTGTATGCCTGCTATTTGAAAGACAAAGAGATATTTCCTGATGTAAAAACCAGCCTATGTCTGGGTTTGCCAACCACACACCATTCCTGAAAGTGCAATTCCAGGCAAGAATAAAAATGAACTCAGAGGGAAGGCAATGCAGAAGAAACCATAGCCACAGAAGCTACTAAAATGCACCAAATAGATGTGTTAACAAATGACTAAAAGTGTTTTTATTTTTTTATTTTTTAAAGATTTTATTTATTTATTTGC